TGTTGAATGTATGGCGGGCCTCCTACAAAGGATTGTAGGTACTTGCATTTGTTGAATATCAAATCTCCTCAGCTTGCATAAGACAGGTACATCTATCTTCCACTGCCTCATGATAGGATGTATAGGCATCTAAACATTTGTAGTAGATTCCTTGCATTCTCTTTGTAAATCACTTGTTGTGTGCAAAGTGGGTCTTCTACAAATGTCCACAGGCATTTGCACTTGTTATACGTCATCCACTTCCACTTGTGAACATTTCATGTTGCATATTTGACTACTGTGACTTGCAAATGTTCCATATATTTGTTTGACATTGAATTATTGCTGCTTGTGAGCGTGTCACTTAATAGTTCTTGCATCTCAATCATCAAGCAGCTGGTTGTACTTGGAGTTGACATTTAGTTTGAGTTGGAGTTTTGTATTAGCTTAATTAGAAGTCCAAATTCAAGTTCTTATTCTGCTTAATTCATTAAAGTCCAAATTTAGGCTTTTTATTAGGTTTAAGTTTTTATTGTCAGTCATTTGCATTTGGTCCACAAGTTCACTACTCTTCTGAGTCCAAATTCTTGTTCTTTTGAGTTCAAACAGGTCCGAGTACAGTCATATTTCACCCGAAATTTTGACAACCTCCCGGCGTCTCCCCCGTTTTAGGGGAATACTACAGAAAACTGGGCCTTTCCCACCACGCTAAAAAAACGTGCATGGTAGGTGCCCTCCTATGAGGACACCGTGGCCGTGTAAAGTCTTTGCCCCCACCACGCCAAGAAAGGCGTGCATGGGTCTTCGATACCTGTTACACGAAAAGAGTAGTTGTTTTCCCGCAGGTACAGAGCCGCGTACGGGTACTTAAGAGTTGTCTCGGTCATGCTAAGAAAAGCGTGTACCAGGCTCACTTACCGCGTCGTATGCGTCTCACCAGATCCCCTCCTATCATGCTAAGAAAAGCGTGCATAGGTGGTTGACCGGCTCGTCGCATACACTGAGGACAGGGTTTTAGAGCCAAGGGGTCGCTCACCTATCTCGTCGTAGGTGTCGCACCGAGTTCCC